TTCTCTGAGCTCAGGGGAACATCCACCGTCCAGCTGACCCCATGCCTCCCCCACCCCCACCCCCACCCCCACCCCCACCCCGCACTCCTATCCCCACCCCCATCCCTACCCCCACCCCCACCCTGCAGCCCTCTCGAACCTCAGCCACCTGCGCTCCAAGCTCCCAGGCTGAGCCTGTCGCCCACACGAAGGTTCTGACCCAGCAGGAGGAGGAGCACATGCTTCCCTGGCGTTTCCGGACGCCTCTGAGGAGCTCTGAGCGTTAAAGGGTGCCGGGAACCTGGCCCAGCGCTCCCCGAGGCTGTTTCCAGAGCGTCAGTGTGGCTGCTGCCTAAGCCCCACACACAGCCCGGGCCCGCAGCCCATCGGCCCCCCACCCCACTGGTCCCCCAGCCCATCGGCCCCATGGCAAACCGCCTGGCAGCTCATGGTCCCGCCGAGGCCGAGATGAGGCCTGGGGGAGGCCCAGGAGACAGCGGGCACTGACCGCCACTGGGGCTGCAGTGCGGCTCGCTGAAGCCTGTTAGTCTCATCATTAAACCACGGGAAGCCCAACGCACCTGCTGGCCTCCCGAGCTCACAGCCCCGCCACCCACGTGTGCCTCACCAGGCCCGCCACCCGGCCTGCCCGCCCGCCGGCTGCCAGCCTCGCTGTGATCGGAGTCTGTGGGCCACGCCCCGTGAGCCTGAGCCTGCCTTGCTGCCCACAGCGGCTCCCGGGGTGGGGGTGGGGGTGGGGGTGGGGAGGGACCGAGAAATGCTCCACCCATCTCCTGGTGACCGGTCTTTGGCCATTATTCATTATGGTGTCTCGGCCGCGTGCTTCTATAATATAGATTGCAATGAATGTTCCCCTTCTAACCTCACTATAATACAAATAGATGTGTGTTCATGACAAAGGAAAAGCTCAACAGCCCTGGCTGCTGTAGCGCAGTGGTTAGAGCGTCGCCCTGTGGACTGAGGGTCCCGGATTCGATTCCAGTTAAGGGCACATGCCAGGTTGCAGGCTCGATCCCCAGTAGAGGGCATGCAAGAGGCTCCTGACCAATGATTCTCTCTTAGCCTTGATGTTTCTCTCCACCTCCCTTCTCCCTTCCTCTCTGAAATCAGTAATATGTATATACACGTGTGTGTGTGTTGCAAATTCACTTTAAAAAAAAGTCCAAGGAGAAGCCCAGAGAAGTTTATTTTCAGGGTGAAAACTATTTTAGGAACAATGCAGTGTTCCTTACTCCAAACAGCGATTCCACATACCTCGCATTTCTAAGGTATTAGAACCTCACAGTAAGCTACTTTTCCTTTTTAATAAACAGCCGATTATCGCTGTGAAGTCAGCGCGCACATCTGAGTGCCAGCTAAACCCCTTTCCAGAACAAGACGCAGCAGCTCTGCGCTCAGCTGACCGCCTGGGCGCGGGCCCCGAGGGAGGCGAGGCCCCGAGGGGAGGCCGGGCCCGGAGGGGAGGCGAGGACGGAGAGCACACGTCCGGTGCGTCCTTCTCACACCGATTCCCCCTCCTTCCAACGTCACCACCAAAACCTGCAGGCAGAGGTTTTATGTAGACGTGCCATGAATTGTCTAATTTAGGGGTGTCGAACTCAATCAGAGAAGGGGCCAAAATCTAAAATCCAGCCTAAATCACGGGCCGAATGGTTTACTGAACAGTCATAAACTGTCATTGTGATGGAAACGCAGCGGAGTGCAGTGATGACAGCGCGGTGCGGGCCACATTGCAAGGCCTGGCGGGACGGATTTGGCCCGCGGGCCTTGTGTTTGACACATGTGGTCTAATTTAATTCCATCAGAAGCTGGCTCTGGGATAAAGACCAATCCTCCAGAAGGAATGAAATTTAGAGTAAAAAAAAAAATCTGTTTTTCTACAGCAAAGTTCTTCAGCGCATTGAACTCTAGGTACCTTAACGAAGTAATGAAAAGCCACAGGCGAGTCTCACTCCTGGAGGATCACAGGGAGAAGCCCTCACGGCTTCGGGGCGGCCGCTGCTCAGGCACGGACACTCCGGGAAGGAAATCAGGGACAGCCGGACAGCCGGCCCTGCGCTAAACCAGGCACTGCTCCGACAGCGACGCCTCAGAGAGGAAAGACCGGCCACGGGAGCGCTGTTCGGGAAGACACGTCCGATAAAGCACTGTCACACAAAGCACCCTTACACCTCAACAACGGAAAAGCCAAAGCCAGCAGTTTTGTTGGTTTGGCTCAGTGGATAAAGCGTCGGACTGCAGACTGAGGGGTCCCGGGTTTGATTCCAGTCAAGGACATGTACCTTGGTTGTGGGCATGTCCCCGTGGGGGGTGTTTCTCTCTCAGAGAGTTTCTATCTCTCTATCCCTCTCCCTTCCTCTCTGTAAAAAATCAATGAAAAATAAATAAAATAAAATAAATAAAATAAAATAAATGGGCCCCTCACTGTAAGACACGCCACCAAAGAGGAGGGAAGTGCAGGGAAGATGCCCCATGTCCTGCGGCATCAGGACATGCAACCGAGAGGCCAGGAGACCCTGCGCCCCCGGGAGACCGCAGCCGGCACTGAGCCCGCCCGGCGGGAGGACCGGGAGGACCGGGAGGACCGGGAGGACCGGGAGGACGGCGCGGCAGGAGCCGCAGGCGCTGTGGGCGGGGGCGCGGGGGCGCAGCCGGGGAGGGTGACCGTGTGGGGGTGTCCCGCACACTAAGCCCACTCTCCCCACGCGACCCAGCAATCACGCTCCTCAGCGTGGATCCATCCACGTTAAAAACGCCGTCCGCACAGAGCCTGCGGACAGGTGCTTCTGCAGCAAACTGTGACAGCGGGAAAGCGGCCGAGATGTCCTGCAGGGGCCGGACGGCCTGTGGTCCCCCAGGCCGGGGGACGGGATATTGTTCAGCGAAGAGGGAGGCGGAAGCTCAGTGCCTGTGACAGGGTGACAGCAGCCAGTCTGAAAAGGCCCCCCACTGCACGATCCCCAACCTACGGCATTTGGGGAAACGGAGACAGCCATTGATCGAGGTACGGGGGATTAGAGGGGCAGCACGGGTGGGCAAAGCAAGGAGGGTTCGGCCGGGGGACTCGGTGACACTGTGACCTCGGACACATTTCATGTTACGTCTGTTGCAGAATCTGTAGGACAGGTCGGAGGTCGCTGTGCTGAGGGCCGTCGGCTCCCGAGAATGGGGTGCCGAGGGGGGGGGGCTGTGCCTTGGGGGACATAACAGACGGGAATCGGTATTTTCCACTCAGTGTTGCTGGGCACCTAACAAAATAACTTCCCGCCCTAACCGGTGTGGCTCAGCGGTTGAGCTTGACCTATGAGCCGGGAGGTCAGGGTCCAATTCCCAGCCAGGGCCCAGGCCCAGGCTGTGGGCTCCATCCCCAGTAGGGGGCGTGCGGGAGGCAGCTGATCAATGATTCTCACCACTCTTTGTCTCTCTCCCTCTTCCTTCCTCTCTAAAGCTAATAAAAGCCTATAAAAATAATACCTGATTAAGCCCCACACAAAAACTCACAGTTAACAGAAGGATGCAGACACCCAGTTGTAAACTAGAAAATCGGAAAAACAACACCGTTCCTAAGGGTTGAATCCAGGTTGCTGTTCCAGCTCCTATTCCTCCCGCGTTTCCTTTTGTGAGAAAATGTCCAGAATAAAACCCGAGGAAAACACACAGGCTGTAGGATTCCTCAGGAGAAAGGGAGGCGGAACACGGGATCAATTTAGAATGTTAAAGGTGGCAGAAACCGGTGTGACTCAGTGGACAGAGCGTTCGTTGGCTTGCGGACTGAAGGAAGGGTCCTGGGTTCGATTCAGGTCAAGGACATGTACCTTGGTTTCGGGCACATCCCCAGTAGAGGGCGTGCAGGAGGCAGCTGGTCCATGTTTCTCATCGATGTTTCTAGCTCTCTATCCCTCTCTCTTCCTCTCTGTAAAGAATCAATAAAATACATATATTTTTTTAAAGTCTGGTTTAAAAAAATAAAATGTTAAAGTTCATAAAAAAAAAAAAAAAAAAAAAAAGATCCGGCCCATCTAATCCACAATAGTTCCTTGTGAATTACTACATTCTCATCGTTCTACTCCGGAGAGTTGCTGTTTGGAGGAACCCTGCGATTTTGAGATTTCAAAAAACAAAAACCCAGGTCCGCGCTGTCCAAAAGCCACTTAGAAAGAGGCTCAGACAGAACCGTGACTAACGGCCCCATCAGTTTCACAGAAACTACCCCCAACTGTTCACAGGCGCTGAGACACTTCCAGGACAGCAGTTCCCAAACCCTCTGGCCACCTTCAGGAGCGGGCCAGCTAGAAGTGGAATTGCTGATTTAAAAAAAAAGAGAGAGAAAGAGCCAGCCAGGGCGCACTGGGTTTCTGACCTCAATTCCACGGCCGAGGCCCCAGCGCGCTGCGCATCGGAAACAGAGCGGGGAGGGCGGTGTGTGCGTGTGTGTGCGTGTGTGTGTGTGTGTGTGTGTGTGTGTGCACGCGCGCGCGCGCGGGGAGGGCCGGGAGGGCGGGGAGGTGGGACGGGGTGGGGGGAGAACCGGGCCGCCCGGGGGAGCGTTTCAATGAGAAATGCTGGGCATTCCAGGCGCGGCTGGAACCTGCCGGGCCGGTGCCGCACCATCCGGGCCGCACTCCGCGGAAAGGTCACTGCCTTCCCCTCCGGCCACCGCGGGCCGCGGGCAGGAAGCGCTGTGTACCGCCCGCGTTCGCCCCTGGGCACGCGGCCGGGCCCCGGGGCGCCTGCTGGTCTCCGGGCCGGGACCCCCCGCGACCCGTCCCGCGTGGGGGACCGCCGAGGTCCGAGGCGGCCTCCGCCTCCCCGGCCACGCGCGCATCGCAGGTGCCCCGTCACCCGTGTCGCCCTCCCGACCCCGCGACGGTGCTCCACCCGCCCGGGACCCTAACGGGCCTGGCCCAGGCCAACCTGCGCGCCCCGCGCCCCGCGCGCCCCGGACTCCGCGCCGCCCTGGCCACTGCGCGCCCGGCCTCCCGCGCCCCCCGCGCCCGCACCTGCGCGCCCCCGGCGTCCGCGCTGGGCGGCGGCTCCGCGCGCAGCCCGTCCTCCTCCTCGGGCGGCTCGTGCAGGAGCACCCGGCTGCGGCCCAGCCTCCACATGCCGGTCGGTCCGTGCGGCCGGGCAGCGCAGCGGCTCGGGCTCGGGCGGCGGCTCCGCGAGGCCCGGACGCGGTGAGCGAGGGGCGGGACGGCCGGGCGGGGCCACATCACCCTCCGGACCGGACCGCCCCGGCCCCCCCTCCGACGGCACCGGCCCACCCCGTCCCCACCCCGTCCCCCCTCCGTCCCCCCTCCGTCCCCACCTCCGCTCCGGGCGGGTCCACGCCCCCCGCCCCCGGCCCGGCCCCCGCGCCCCGCGCTCATCCCGACCCGAACCCACCCCGACGATCCCCGCCAGGCCCCGCCCCGGCAGGCCCCGCCCCGGGCCACCCAGGGCTTGGCCCCGCCCCCCAGGTCGCCCCTCACCGGCGGGGGCGCGGCTTGTCCACCGGCGCTGCGCGGGGGCGGGGCGCTCTGTCCCGGTCTCCATGGCAACGGCGGGCCGCGGCGGGCAGTGCGCATGCCCACAGCGGGGACGGCCGAGCCCGGCCGGCCGGTGGCCCGGTCCTGGGGCGGAGCCCCCGCCCCGCACGCAGGGCCCGAGCATCCGCGGAGCCGGCGCCCCGCGGCCCCGCCCGCCCGCCCCGCCCCGGGCTGGGTCTGCGGACCCCCACCCGCCGGGGGCTTCTGGGTCTGGGGTGGGAGGTGGGGCGCCCCAGGCTGGGCCCTCGCCCTCGGGGTGGGCGGCCGGTGCCCGGACCCGCGGGGGCAGCGGAGGGCTGTGCACGGTCCGGGAGGAGAGGAAGGGAGAGGGAGAGAAATATCGATGTGAGAGCGAAACATCAATCCGCTGCCCCCTGGGCATGGAGCCCACCCATGCCCGCGCCTGCGGGCACCGGCCCCCTGCCCCCAACCCAGCACTGCTGGGGCCACGGACAGTGGAGCCAGCAGGCCGGTGTGGCTCAGTGGGTAGAGCCGGCCTGCGGACTGAAGGGTCCCAGGTTCGGTTCCGGTCAAGGGCATGCACCTTGGTTGCGGGCACGTCCCCAGTGGAGGGTGTGCAGGAGGCAGCTGATGGATTTTTCTCTCTCATCGATGTTTCTCTCTTTCCATCTCCCTTCCTTCCTCTCTGTAAGCAATCAATAAAATACATTAAAAAAAAAAAAAAAAGACAGTGGAGCCGGTTCTGAGGGGCTTATATCTAATCGCAGGCGGAACGCGCCGCCGTGGCACAGGGAACCGGAGTCTGAGTCTGTCCTCGGTGCTTTTCTAGCTGCGGTGACAGCCCGTCAGGGAGCTGGGGTCCGGCCTGCTCACCAGGCGAGCAGGAGGCGCACCTCGGGCTCCCGCACAGCACGCGACGGCTTATTTCCTGTCTCAGGAAAGGGCGGGGCAATAAAGCTCAAAGGACACTCACCTCCGTTATAATCGGAAAAATGCGCATTCACACGAACAGCCCCCTCCCCACCCGCCAGAGCCGTAAGGATGTCTGAAGTGGGTCCAGTGTTGGCCAGAGCCGGGCTGGTGCGGCTCAGTGGTTGGGTCGCCTGTGGATGGATGGCTGCCCTGTGGTTCCTGGTCAGGGCGCGGGCCTGGGTTGGGGCTCCATCCCCAGGGGGCACTGATTGATGTTTCGCTCTCACATGGATAGTTCTCTCCTCTCCCTTCCTCTCCCCCACTCTCCCCCCAAAAAAACCCACAATCAAAAATCTTAAAGAAAAAAAGAAACTGTTGGAGACAAATTGGATCCATTTCTGAGTATCTATCAGATTTTAATGTGCACACCCTCCTGCCAAGCAAACTAACTTCTACAGAGAAGCTTTTCACCGGACAGACTTCATATTGCTTCTATTTTCACACTAACTCTACATTCACGTGTTTACTTGAGAATTCAAGTAACATTTAAAAATTTATAAAGAGATCCCAGCACTGAACAGCTCTGTGCACATGTTTCTTAAGTATTATAACTTCTCTACTATAAAAAAAAAAAAAATCAACCCTGGCCAGTGTGGCTCAGTGGATAGAGCATTGGCCTGTGGACTGAAGGGTCCCAGGTTCGATTCGGGTCAAGGGCACGTGCATTGGTTGCGAGCACATCCCCAATGGGGAGTGTGCAGGAGGCAGCTGATGGGTGTTTCTCATCGATGTTTCTGACTCTATCCCTCTCCCTTCCTCTCTGCAAAAAAGCAATAAAATATGTTTTTTAAAATCAGATGCACCTTTTGGGTTTTACTCCGAAGTGATCAGCAATGAAACCGTTAAACTGGAAAGAGGCTCTGAGTGTGCCTGGGAGGGAGAGGCCGGCAGAAGCCAGCGCAGACAGCGGCGACAGGCACGGCCGCAGGGCGAGGGGTAGGGTCCGGACGGGCTGGAGCTGGTGGGATTAGCCGAGCTTCACCCAGCGGGCACCTGGGCCCCCGACATCTGACCTGCTCAGCGGTCACAGGATCCTGAG